CCATATTCATCCTTGTAAAGGGACTGTTGTTGTCACTGTCAACTTATTATTGTATTAATCTTCAATATGATTCAAAAGAAAAGTTGCTGTATCAATTTTTTGAAGAATATGTCCTAGGTGTAAAGCCTCAACGACGAACATTTCGGTACAGGCAAATCTGTACTAAGATTTTTGACAAAGACAAAGAGTAATCTTCTGTACGATTCAAATGAAAGGCTACTATACCTATTCCTTGAGGAATTTATGTTTGTCATGAAGCCACTATTTACTGTTTATTTTAGATTGGATAAATCTGCATGAAGATTTTTGTTGAATAGTTAAAATTTCAGCATATTAAGTTAACATGTAGCTGTGCCATTTCTTGAATAATTGGTGTTAGGTATAAAGCCATGTCACTTTGCTGTACATTTGATATACATCAAATGAAGTGAGGTGTAACCATAGTTAATCGAGGGGACTGGTTAGGAAGGCCGGCAAACTTCAAAGGACCGGTTTATTGTTTACGATTTTAGGTTGAATTGCACCGTCACGTCATGATACGTCACGAGTACCGTGCATCGCTATCGTTGTCACAGTAAACAAACATGGCATCTAGCATCGAAGACTTTATATTCGAAGAATATTTCGATGCTATTATGGCAGTTTTAGAAGAAGATGAGAATTTGGAAGAACAGTTTCTCGAGGCTGTACAGGAGGTGCGTGTTAAAAGCTAAAAGCTAGTCCTATTTAGTCATTTCATTCGCGGTTTGTTGCTAGGAAAGGCTCAGTGTAGTTGGCTTGAGATCGATCAGTGTTCGGTATTGTGTATCTGTTTCCAGAGCTCCAGAACAAAAATTAGATTTATTTCGGACTCTTTTAGAATCGCTAAAGCTTTAAGAAGAGTTATAGTAGCAATATTGGTATAAACTGATTTAAAACTGTTGGCGATTTTATCAAGTTTGATGAACTAAATGTTTCTTACATTCAAGGTCCAAAGGCAAGATATAGCTTGTAGTATAGGTCAAAAAGTTTGTAAAAGTAAACGAGGTCTAAGCAGACACACGACTATTAAACACAAAGATAACAACCAAGATCCCGAACAAGATGTACAAGAGGAAGAATCAAGGCAAAGAATAGCATTTACAAGCGACGTTTTGAACGATCTGGTGAACAACGTGAAAACGACAATAAGCAAAAGAAAAGTGTTTACAAAAGCAATGCGAGATGAAATATCATCATTCCAGTTTAACATTTGCGAAGGATCGAAAGAGTTTGAAGAGATACGGACTATTTTTGATGGCTTTACGAAGAATGGAAACGCTGACAAGTTTTACTCCAAGTATTACGCGACCATATCATTACATGCTACAAAATACTTCCCGAGTCTGTCCAGTAATTCAGCAACATTGTTATCAACTAAACTTGCTGATCGACTCCTGGCCTACTGCAAAGAATCTCTTTCTCCTGTAAATGATAACGAAGTTGAAAAAGCTTTAAAGGAAAAAGAGATTGCTGGTCTACAATATCTAGGAGGCTATGTCTTGCAAAATCTGCACAATAAACACAGAGCATCTAAGAATTGGAAATCAACAGAAAGTCAACAGGCTACATCTTTATTAAATGCATGCAAAGAAGAATCAAAGACTATCACTGAATCACAGAAACTTATCTCTTCCTTAAGCCGTGGAGGGCTGTGGAATCCAACGAAAAAAGCCCAGAAAATATTTTTGAGGGCAGAACATCATTTTAGAAACAATTGTAAAACTGACCAAAGATCTATCAACATTGAAGCTGTAATTGAGAAATGTTGCAAAGATACAGATGTAGTTGCTTTCTTCCATTGCGATGCAAGGACTTTCAGGAAGGAAACAGTTCTTACGTAAACTTGGATAAGGTCAGACTCCAGAAAGAAATTGCTGGAGAATTAGAGCTAAGAAAGTGTTTTGATACAAATGCACTTTCCAGGTAGTTAAATCTACCTGATTTACTTGTGAATTGGAGATGAAAACTGATTGCCTCGTTGTTCAATCAACGCAAAATGTCATATTCTGTATTGTAGCTCGGAAGATCAATCTTTTCAAATTACGGACAGTTTTAATTGAAATATACCCATGTGTTTGAGCCCCTAAAAATTATATGTGTGTGATCAGAATATTGCTTAATCTGTAAGAAATTTCATGGCAATTGTTTTCGTATTTTATACTTTAAAAGCGATAAAAAAAATTTAATTTTTCCTTTTATTTTTGAGTAAACTCTTAATTTCAAATATTTGGTCTCACCTTGGTTTCATAAACACCTGTCTCAAATAAGATCCTGGAGATCATTCGACCGGTTACCCCTTTCCGCTTGATATCATTTTATCACTTGTTTCTATAATTCTGCGTCGCATTTGACTTTTTTCGGTTTTTCGGATTGAGGAAAACCTTGAAGCAAAGTGTAAAAAGAGATCTTATCACCTGAACGGCTAATGGCTGCAAGATGTTTGCTTCTGTCATCTTGCTGCACTTAGCATTTAATAACGTTTGTACAAACTAAATGTCAACTTCACCTTAATATCCTGCAGGATTATTTTTCAACCCAAGATAAATGAGTTTCAGGTGCTATATTTCAAAGCCAAAATTTGTAGGACGAAAAACAAGGAGCTGACGAATCAGACAGTACTGCCAGTAACGTGTTTGTCTTATGATGTTTCATAATTTCGCAGCTTCATGTTACCTGTGAATCAATATTTGTTCTAATAGAATTTTTTCTTAAGTTCAAATTCGTAAAGAGATATTAATGCAAAATGTAGGATTTTGTTTTCGCATTCTGCTATAAAAGCTCTCTCCAGAAGAGTAGAAAATAAAAACAATCAAATAGCAAGAAAACGTCTCTGTTATCTGGCACTCATCTTCAGAGTGTCAAAAGTCTCGAGATTATGTTATATTGGCCAGTTTTTGAGATATCAATCTTGATTTTGGACCTGTAAATGAATGTTATCTCCCTCATTCTGAGGCACACCTCTACCGCTCCGGTACCAAGAAACTTGAACCCGTGATCGAGCATATGTGTGAGTTCCTTTTTCATGGGGTTGTTTGACATTACAAGTTGACAAACATGGCCAAATAAGTTTGTAGAATCCATTTCGATAGTTTTCACAGAAGGTAAAGTAAATGACAGGATTTACCGACGAATTTAGATATGCCAAATACAGTGCCCATTCTCCGAAGGTTTCCATGTGACAGGGAATTTCCATGTCTGAGTCCACTTTCATCCAAATGTAGGTTGCCAAATACGAGTAGACTATAAATGGAAACCAGCATAAGCCGAATGCAAGGACGACTGCAAGCAATATGTAAAGCACGTTTCTATCACGCTTTCGTTTTCGCCTCTGTCCAATCGAAGTGTGTTCGCCAGGAACTGGCGTTCGCTTGATTCTGATAAGGATTACGGCGTAAAAGGCGATTACAATGACGAAAGGAATCATTAGAGCTATAATTGTGTGGACAAGGAATTCTATTTCTCTCGCCTTGTTTGGATTTGATACCAACCGGTCCCAGCTATGTTGACACGATGGACCTTCTTCCTCGATGGAAATTTGAAATGTGAAAAAACTCGTCGTATTCATGAAAAAAGCCAGCGTCCAAGTAGACAGTATCGTTACTGCACATCGTTTCCTTGGAATCGTATCTGGAAGGAATTGACAAGAGATGGCGTTGTAACGCTCGATAGCAATCATAAGCAGCGTCAACAATGACACAACCACGGTGACATCCTCTACAAAGTACACCACCTTGCACAACACCAGACCTGTAGTTCCCCCGACCAACCAAGAGTTGTCGTAGGTGTGAATCTCGGTCAAGACCCTTGGAATAAAGACAACTGAGCACAGGAAATCAGAAACAGCCATATTAACCATCAGAAAATTTACTGTTGTTCTCATTTTTCGGTCTTTGTAAACGACAATGGCCACCATAGAGTTACCTATAATTGATGTTGTCAGGATGAGTGCGCAGACGATGGTCCTACAAATGTCTGCAGTTGTTTGATCCATGAGGTTGCAAGGGAAAGAGGTATTGGTCCCATTCTGAGTCCTGATTTCTATGTCTATACTCATGCTATAAAGGCACTCGGCTTAGTAATTCTTTGTTACTAAGACTATAGCCGTTTAAAGAAACAAAATATCCTACCCTTGTTAACTCACCAGTATTGTAAACACATATGGGGAGACAAATGAATTTATTTTAAACCTGGCCAATCAAAAATAAGTGTACACTGCTTAGCAAACGGTTTTAACTTTTAATGAATTTTTTTTTTTCAGGCAGCTGCTGTTTCATGTATGCGAAGTGTCTCATTTGAATCATTTTTCTTCTTCCGAAGTTTTTGTGCTATTTCGATTAGTCATAAGATTTGCTCTGGCTTCATGTGTAAGGAAGATAACTTTCTCGCCCAGGGCTTAAAACCAAGTAAAAAAATGACACTCTCAGATTAATATCGGGTATTGAAAATTCTCCATTGTAAACAACAGAAGCAATTATCTGTTGCGTCAATGTATAGGAGGTTTTTTTTTTTTTTTTAAGTAAACGATTGTCGAACTACTTGCTATGAAACACATGCGGTCTGCCTTTACATCCTAGATAACTTTCTTCTGGTGTACCGGGATACACTCCCAAAGTTATGATCAGTCATTTTTATCATTACAAAATCAAATAAAGAGGACCAAGCAGATTTTTTTCGCTTGTAATGCATTGGTAAATAAAAGCATTTGCAAATGATCTAGAGAAAAACTCAGAGAGATCTCTGTTGCCTGAGTATCCATGACAATGGATGATGCTGGTAATTTAGTAGGGGGTCTGCTTCCTTCATGTTATGAGTCTTTCTGTCGCCAGCTGATTCTCTTTCGTAAGAAGAAGCCCTCTGGCGGTAACTGATAAATAGACAGCTTAAAAACTGATTAGCTTTTCCGATAATCTTCATCGAAATGTACAAATGGGTGAAGAAAAGTACTTATTGACAGGATGTTATCAAAGAAAGGTTTTAACACGTTGATTTAAATCCTTAAATGTTGTGCTAATCAATTCCGATGATTAGATCTTTGTCCTATCATATTGCTACCTTTGAAATCAAGAGGATTTAGAGGAATTCAAAAGGAGGCGGAGTTATCAAAAGAAGACGAATCGTACGCGAGAAGTCGTTTACTGTGAATTACGTACCAACTGCCAGTTTCAATTCTCGTATTTTTCAAAATTTCATATTTATTCCTAAAAAGGGTATTCCTTGAAATTTTGCAGAGACGTGCTCTCGAACGTACTTTCGAGAAGTCAGCCACTTTAAAATGAGAGCGTGGCTAATAATAAAGACGAAGAGTAGGCATTTTTAAATGATTCATTTTATACAACCTTTCGCTATAACAGTCTCAGATGTCTTCTTTTGTTAAAAAAGCACTGAGTTCTATCATTTTTGACACAACTTGAACTTGAGTCATCTTAACATCTCTCTAAGGGGCCTATCTTATAACATCTGTATAAATATTTAATGACAGTTACACAACTGAAACTAACAAAAGGACTAGAATTCTCTTTGCGGATTTGAAGAAAACAAAATAAATGTAATAAACAAAATGTCATCAAAGTCTTTTGGCTAGCTAATGGGGAGTAACAAGTGGTTTGCCATAATTAATAGCAAACAGAGAGTTCGAAACTGGACAATTCCTGCCTGGAAACGTAATATGCCTGACACAACAAAACAGCTAGATGTTTAAATTATGATGACTAAATTAAATATATCTTTTGCTTTTGAGAATCGTGTATTTTCCTCAAAGCATTTTTTATCTTTAGTTGTCTTTACGAGTACAGTTTCATAAATGCTATGTTCAATGTTTCAATCATTCTGATGGCTTTTTTCCAATCATAGCTTCCATTTTAACCTCTCTTCTATCTTTTCCACGGGAGATTGCAGATGAACAAACAAGGATTTATTGAAAGAGATTTTCTCCTTAAATATGCTGCTCTACAATTGTTATTATAAATCACAATTTGTCGAAATTGAGTAATTCCACATTTGGACATTGAACCACTCCGTTGCCAGGCCAACATCTGCGTTTGGTCCTCTTCATCGACTGTGTCTCATTTTTATTTAAACTTAATGATTTGTTAGAGGAGAGTATTAAGCAGTGGCGGATGAGCCTTCTAAGCCCTTGTCTATAATTTTCGCTGAACGTGAAGTAAATGGTGGGGTTCACAGATGACTGCAGATACGCCATAAACAATGCTATTTCCCCATAGATTTCCAACCCACAAGGAATGCTGTGTTGGTCCTTGTTGATATAACCGAAAGTAACTATATATGTGTAGATTATGAACGGAAACCAACAAATGCCGAACGCTATAACCACTGCAAGCAATATAAAAAGTACATTTCGGTTACGCTTCCGTCGACGGTTTAATGCTACGGAACTTACTTCGTCTGGAACAGATATGCGTCTAATTTTGCCAAGGATTATTGAATAGAGAGCGGTTACAATGATAAATGGGATTATCAAGGCCAGATTTGTATGCAAAAGGAACTCAATTGTGGTGGCTTTACCTGGATCTGCCACCAGACTCTCCCAACTATGGGAACAAATTGATCCTTCCTCCTCGACGTAAGCCAACCTGAACGATAGCAAATCTGTGATGTACATGAGAAACGCCACGAACCAAGTGGAAAGTATCATAAATACACACTTCTTATCTGGAATGGGGTTCGCCACGACAGGACAAGAAATGGCATAGAAACGCTCAATTGCAATCATCAGGAGGCTCAGTAGAGAGACGGCAACTGTAATGTCTTGTAAGAAGTGAACTATTCTGCAGGAGGCATCACCAATCTCTCCAGTAATGAACCATGCACCTGGATAGGTAAATATGAACATGATACTCTTCGGAACAACGAGGATAGTATTCAAGAGATCCGAAACAGCCATGTTTACAATCATAAAATTCACGGTTGTTTTCATCCTTCGGCCACTGTAGACCACAATAGCCACCATTGTGTTGCCCATGAGAGATGTTATAAAGAGAAAAGCAAAGCCGACAGTTTTTCCAATTACCGAAGAAGTGTGGTTAAGATCGTCACAAGCGATATCAAAATCGGATTCATTATTGCCTCGGAATTCTGTGATATTTCCGTGAGACATAATCTTTGACTACAAGCTCGCGGTTGCTATGATTTACCTTGAAAAACAGTGTCTGAAAATTCAGAGCAAAGAAAGTCCAGTGCTTTTACTAAGAGATTTGCATAAAGTAATGTGGAGTGTAATGCACTGTACAAACCAATAGGAAACATGCTTGCATTAGTCTGTAAATAAACTTAATGAAATTTCATACAGTTTTGGCAGATGCTACCGGCCATATTACTCAGCCAGGTCGCAATATTTCCGCTATCTAATATTGCCTATGACACTAAGTTTCGATTTAACTGATAAGAAATCTATAGGTTTGATCTTTCAATCGTTGGCAGTTTTTTTACTCTTCATGATTTCGGAACCTTGTCTAAGGCAAATGATTAGTGTTACGAAGGTGCCTTTGTGAAGCAAAATGAACTTGGGTGTAAAAAATTTGGAATAAAAAGTGTGCAGTTGTAGAGGAACAATATGAATGACAATCTAAACACGTTGTTGAGGGTCAAAAATTATTTTAATAAATCTCAAGTCCTCAAGTTTGTCAAGCCGTCTTGTCATTTTATTTTACATATTTTCATTTTTTGAAAAGGGAAATGCAAATTCGAGGTAATTTAAACACTTCCTAGGTGGCTAAATGAAATAAAAACAATAAAACAGCTCTTTAATTTCCATATCCTGTTTTTCTTGAAAAGTACGTTGAGAAAAGTTTTAGTAGTCGATGCATGATTTCTACCTAAATTGTGAATGTTAATATAGTAAATAAAATTGAGTGTTGTATTCCTGACTTGATTGCCTTTCCGATGTACGTTTCGAGGTTTTATCATAATAATCAGCGCCCAGTTGTTTAAAGGTTGGTTAAAACTACCCAACGCATAAACCGCTATCCAGAAGATAATTGTTCATGAAACAATTTATCTACTGGAGAGCGTTATCCACCTTTGGAACAACCGGGGCCAGGACAACGAACTCCATTTAATTGCCTCCCAGTTTACTGACTAGGATCAAGATAAAAAAATAAGCAGTAGTCATGACAAAAATGTAGCCAAAACCGTGATGTATTTCTTAGCTTAAGGAACTGCATTCTGGAAGTCTGAAGAAACCAGTAAGTGAATTATATTTTATGTGGGATCGTTGATAAGTTTTGTAATGATTAAGGTTTACTTAATTCGAGGGAGTTCTTACGATATAATTTGTGTTTATGACTAAAAAAAAAGGTTAATAATACGAACTTTCAAAGAAATTATTCCTGATTCTCCGTCGAATCATCTAAAACGGGGCAACAAAACCAAGAGACAGATAAGTTTTACGAATTTGTAAGGTAAGCGACAGTACGAGCTAGTTGTGAATGCAGGTCATGTTGTACGGGCGTTTTTGCTGTATCGCTTCAGAAATGTCACCCATAGCCACAAGCTTAGTGACGTCGTCCCAAAAGTGAAATTCGGTCTCATCAAAGTCTCGTTACACTGCCCCATGTTGACTACATAATCAGATGCTACTAACGTTTTAGTACTCTTACAAGGTCAAACGAAGTAACGACACTGTTTTTTCAGCCTCATTGGATCGGTCAGGTTTGTATATTTTCTGGATATATCAACAAAGTTGAAATGGTAAATTGGCCACCGTAACGATTACAAAAGCTGACGTTTCGAGCGTTAGCCCTTCGTCGGAGCGAATAGAGGAATTGTGAGTTGTGTGTGCTTTTAAAGGCAGAAAATGGAGCTACGTTATTGGTGGGAACATGGCAACGAGAAAAACACGAATAATTTAGTGGAATGAAAAGCGTTCGTTGATACCTGTGGGATTTAGACTGCCGGTTTGAAAGATGAGCTTTCGTTCAAGAGTTTTACGGCTTTCGGCGTGCTACCTCAGTGCAAGGAAAGACCGCAAATTGCCATATGTTGCTTAGATGTGTCCATGTCATTCCTTTCCACGTCGCGAAGGTGTTCTCGTAATCGGTCACCTAGTCTTCTGCCTGTTTCGCCGATGTATCTCTTTTTGCAATAAGTGCAAGTTATGCAATAGATTACATTGGCGGAGGTGCACGTGAAGTGATCGGTGATCTTAATGGATCGTTTGGGTCCCGATATTTTCTCAGTGTTGTAAATGAAAGGACACGTTTTGCATCGTGCANGAAAAGATAAACCGTTTGTTGCTAAAAGCCATCCCTCTTTAGAGACCCTCTTTAAAGCTCTTTTCTGCAGTGGAGGATGTTTTTAAACGATTACAAAAGCTGACGTTTCGAGCGTTAGCCCTTCGTCGGAGCGAATAGAGGAATTGTGAGTTGTGTGTGCTTTTAAAGGCAGAAAATGGAGCTACGTTATTGGTGGGAACATGGCAACGAGAAAAACACGAATAATTTAGTGGAATGAAAAGCGTTCGTTGATACCTGTGGGATTTAGACTGCCGGTTTGAAAGATGAGCTTTCGTTCAAGAGTTTTACGGCTTTCGGCGTGCTACCTCAGTGCAAGGAAAGACCGCAAATTGCCATATGTTGCTTAGATGTGTCCATGTCATTCCTTTCCACGTCGCGAAGGTGTTCTCGTAATCGGTCACCTAGTCTTCTGCCTGTTTCGCCGATGTATCTCTTTTTGCAATAAGTGCAAGTTATGCAATAGATTACATTGGCGGAGGTGCACGTGAAGTGATCGGTGATCTTAATGGATCGTTTGGGTCCCGATATTTTCTCAGTGTTGTAAATGAAAGGACACGTTTTGCATCGTGCAAGAGTGCATTTAAATGTGCCTGTTTGGTCATTAGTCTGAAAAGAACTTCTGACCAAAAAATTGCCCATGTTTTTGTCGCGAAAGATAGTGCTTGTCTCTGGATCGTTTTGAAGTAATTTAAAGTTTTTAAGAATGATGGATTCGACTGAGTGGTTGTGAGGGTGAGACGTGTATATTTTCTGACTATCAAAGAAGTCTTACATTAGAGTGAATAGCAATAAGTAGATTAGTACTCAATAATATTCAATTGGGAGTGTCGGTTGATACGACCTTTTAGTTGTGATCGACTCCTAATGACTTCGGTGAGGTCATTCAGTTTAAGGGCGAAGCGAGTCGGGTGGATATGGCTGGATGCAACATACCGCCAGCGAGACGTACCTGATAACAAAAACCAGCCGACGGTGTTTCAAAACACAGCAGAGTCGGATGCGCAACCTGATCTCTTTAAACCGTAATTCAGTTAAATTGAATAAACTCCACACAATACAAGACAAGATTGTCAAGATTAAGCACCCATGAAATTTACGGAATGCACGTCTTTGCATGGCGCACACCTATTTTCATCGAAGAAAGATGTTGTTCTGCGATGGTTGCCTATTTTTCCGCCCTGGATGTAACGGTCAGTTTTAACTTCATTTATGTCCTTCAGGGAGTGGTTAAATGTAAGTACTTCGGTTTGTTATTGAGTTTCAAAAATTTGATTTACACAGAGTCTTTATTATCTAAAAATTCTAAAGGCGTCGAAATATTGTTTTCCTATTACTTAACTTTCGCAGTTACCCGTCCTTTTTTCTTCTCGATGGGTTCTGGATGATAACACCCTTTTCTCTAATACCTTGAAAATATTGGCAAAAGCTTCTGACGTAGCTAGTGGTATTCTTTGCCGTTTCCTTTCGGTTTGTGAGAAAAAGTTTCGAAATCCCGGATAAAAGCAATAACAATAACAATCGCGCGCAAAACGCACTGGTGAGCTGGCTCTTTAATTGATTAATTTGAATTCGTGAAGAATTCGGCGTCTCTTGGCCGCTTCGACTGTTACAAGTTACAGTCAGGTGGTGTGCGCACTCTGGTTGCGTTGCATCATGGTCATAAAACAAACATTAAGTCATTCGCATCTTGACGCGTTGGAGTGAACTTCTTTGGAGGCAGCGAGAGAGAGTGAAAATACGTGGGTCGTAAAGGGGATTCACTGTCTGTTGCCGTTCCCTCGAAAGTTAAAAAGCTTGACGGGCCTGCGCGACTCCCGTCATTCGGCCTTCTTAATGAATTCGTTCTTAGAAGGCAACTGACGTTATCAAGAAAGATTCGAAACTTTGAGGGTAGAAGGTCTTAAAGCGCCAGCGAATGGTAGGAGACAAACCAACCTATCAACGCCTTTCAACTGTCGACTGCCTTTTGCTTTCCGGATTTCCGGCGTGTCGTCTCACGCACGGCAGAGGTTCTCATGGATCAAGTGACTCTTTTCATTGCTCTAATCATAGTTAATAGAGGGGACTGCCAGTCCCCTCTATTAACTATGCCCTAATTAAACTGTCCTTCATTCAATGATCAAAATAGAAGATTTACCACACAACACTCGGGATTAGTTAATTTTCCTTCACTGAGGAAAGTAGACTTACAACACGATTGAGTACTTATAATAAATGTCCTTGCAGTAGTAACGTTATGTAACGCAACACACTAAACGCAACAATGGGCCTTTTCACTCCATAAAAGGGTCTCAAACGCTAAAACTGAACATGAAACATTTGTACCGTTGGAGCGCGTTTGAGCGCGTTTGGTCAGAGCTGTTGAAGAAAGATCATAGTGGCCATACAAATCTTTGAAAGGCTTCAAACTACGACGTGCAACGAATTTGACCTTCTCGAAAACCGGTCTTAACTTACGTGCTAAGAAACAGTGCTTGCGTTTGTCCTTGAGAACGATAGAATACGTGACAAATACATACAAAAAATACTTCTACACATTCAGAATACATCAAATTATATTTACTTATAGTGAAAGGAAAAAGAAACGGCCTAACTTTTTCGGAATGTTCGGTCAAAAGCTGCCGATTTCTGCCGCTTTTACCGCCATATTGAAAATAACGCTACCACAATGCAATGCAATCGGAGTGCGCACACTGTCTGAGTTTTAGTGAAAACTAGAGATCAATAACCGTGTCAAATAACTGACGTCACGAAGCCTGAAACCCATTTTGTTGATTGACTGTGATCCTACTCTTGGATCATTTTAGTTTTCTGGGCAACTGAGATCGATTTCACTTTCTCGAGCTCGCACAACAACCTGTACACAATTTTCACAAATTGACCTCCATTTCACTCGTACTCGCCAAATACCGAGTTCGATGACAGCGACTTTACAAGCGAGCTCGTTCTTCGTTGAGGACCTCGATCAAGCCCGAGCACGGTTACTTCGAATGCTTCGAGCTCACTTTTATTCGAGCTCGTATTAAAACTATCTCGATTGAAATTGAGTTCGATTGAATTCGTACTCGATTCTACTCGACCACGGATGTCTATCAGCCAATATTGAGCTCGATATCGATTCTCCTCTCTTCTTGTCTTTTACAACTAAAGAAATAAATGAAATGAACTATTGCAAAAAAAAACCTTTCAAAATATTTCCCCTCGTTTCACTGCTTGGTATTTGTCTTATTACCTTTCTCCAATCATGATATTGTTGTTGTTATTTCGCATTAACAATTTGGTCCAAAAAATTAGCATATAACCCTCGAATTCTTC